CTTGTCGCGGTTTACACAGTGGCTCCGTTGCGGGGCTTACCTATACATGCTAGCTGCCTCGATAAGTTGTAACCTCTACGCCTATGTCGATTCCGGCGCTTGCGTTTAACGGATCGGAGTTCATCTGTATATATTCACTAATGTTACGAACGGGTTTTAACGAACTAACGCCGTTTTAAACAGCACTAATCGTATTCGAAAAACGTCTTGTGATCGTATGTGTCGTCCCAATGATTTATTGATTAGGATACGTGCGATAATTCGCGCCAAATGGTTTACTGCGTGTTTTTTTCTGTTTATTTAAAGCTTTCGGTATGAATCGCATTGAATTATCTTTTATAAAGTGGACACCTTTAGATGTTAATGTTATAAAACTATATTTTATTCTATATTGGTCGGCTTCCTTTTACTCGTTCATCATATTTAGTATCGATGAAGTATTGGCATCGACGCGCCCGCGTTCTCTGTGCGTACGCGTGCGTGCGTGTACGTGTATGTGTGCGTGTTTGCTAGTGTGCGTGTGTGTATACGTGTATGTGCGTGTTTGCTAGTATGCGTGTGCGCGCAAACGTGTGCTTTCGTACTTGCATGATCGCTCATTGTTATGCGTGCATGATACCGCTGGCGTGTATAGGTGTGCGTGTTACTGCTAGCGCGTGTTGGTTTATTTGTTCCCAATGAAATGTGTTTTTGTGTTGAAAGATGCCGCTTCTATTCTGTCTTATTGTTTTTCTATTACCGTTTTATTGAGTAAAACATTTCATGCATTATAAAGAATTATTAAACAAAATTACTAATTATTTTTCGTAATTTTCTGCTGTCGCATGCAATACATTCGTTGCCGTTACAAGACTCAGTCCACCACCGTTTGTCAAGCGTTCAGCTATTACATCCAGAACATTTTCTCGTCAATCTTACGATTATTAAACCCCGGCGCAAAGTCTAGATGACGGTCACTACGTATAGCAATTAACGCGTTTCGCCACATGTGTTACCCGTGTGCACCACCGCATATCACACAGACATAGGGTTGACCTCGGCTCAGTTACAATTATGCACGCGTGGATGCCGCTAAGTCAAATTGCTAAAAATCACGAATAATGAATAAAGCCAAGGTTGTAAACCAAAGCAGGAAAAATCTATCGAGGGCAGAACTCGATTACCGACAGGCGTTGTCCTTTCACTTTTAGTTATTCTTAATGCTTTTAGTTCTAAATTCTCACTCAGTTCAATCCGTTTCCAGAAGTCCTGCTGCTATCGGATGACATAATATAACATAAAAATCACATTATCATGTACTAATATTACTATTCATGTTTATTTTTTAATATCTATTTTGTTATATTATTCTTTATATTATAATATATTATTTTATTACCGGAATACATAATATAACGCTTTCTATTATGCACTGTTATTATTATGTGTGTTTTAATTATGTTATTATTATGTTGTCATGTATTATTCGAATAATATTGCTATATATTATGTTAATTTGTTTTCTTGATATAATAAATTAAGTAGCAAGATTAATGACGGAATCAGAAAGCACTAGCGAAATGGCTCTTGAAGTAAGCGACAGTCATATAATATTATTATGACTTTACACGGCTGTATTTTCCAAGTATCGCGCTTAGGGAGGAATTAATGCAGTATTCTATAAAGCTACATAAGACGACCGCAAGAAATTGCAATGTAAATCTAAGAAACGCTAAGTATACAGTCGCGAGACCTTTTAATAATTCTGTTCGCCATTCATAACTTTATTTTATTTTGGTGAGGGTTATTGGGACAGAATGGGGTGCGATTGAAATTGCGTGGATCGGCATACAAAAATGCATGCGCTGTCTAATGCGGCCGCGTACGCCGGGCTATTGCGCGAAAACACTAACTCGTTGCCCATCTACATGCTTTACCTTGCTACTGGATAGTGTATACATCACTTCAATCGTTATTCACTTTTTAAAAGATTATGTTTTCAGAAAGCCGCCGCTCATTCCACTTTAGTAAATCAGCATTCGCGACATTTAACAAAAATAGAAATAGAGCGAAGTCTTAGCAATAGACCCTGGTTCTTCGCTTTGTCATCCGTGCGCTGACAGGAGGGCTGATAGGACTACTCCTGACTTGTCTGATGTTTGTGAAATGGCGAATGTATGTAACCTAATAGTGAATGAAGCGGGGTTTTCTCGAAAACATTTAAGAAGTGAATACATTGAAGTGAATAT